AATATGTGGAAAAAGTTAAGAAAATGATATATGAACAAAATGGAAATATCAGTAGAGACAGAAAACATAAAAAGAAACCAAAAGGAAATTCTGGAGCTGAATATTACAATAACTAAAATGAAAAATTCACTAGAGGGATTCAAAAGCCGATTGGAGCAGGCATTAGAATGAGCAAACTTGGAGATAAAATAAGTGGAATTGGGGGCCAGCCCTGTGGCTGAGTGGTTAAGTTCGTTTGCTCCGCTTCAGCAGCCCAGGGTTTCACCGGTTCAAATCCTGGGCGTGGACATGGCACTGCTCATCAGGCCATGTTGAGGCGGTGTCCCACATGCCACAACTAGAAAGACCCTCAACTAAAATATACAACTATGTACTGGGGGGATTTGGGGAGAAAAAGCAGAAAAAAAAAAAGATTGGCAACAGTTGTTAGCTCAGGTGCCAATCTCTAAATAAACAAATAAGTGGAATTGTCGAGTTGAGGAAAGAAAGAAAAAAAACTGAAGAAAAGTGAACAGAGCCTAAGGGACCTGGGGGACACCATCAAGTGGGCCAACACACACATTGTGGGAGTCCCAGAAAGAGAAGAAAGGGAAAGGGACAGAGAGATTATTTGAAGAAATAATGGCTGAACACTTGCCAAATTAGGTGAAAGACACTAATATAAACATCTAAGAAGCTTAATGAACTCTTAGTAGGATGAACTCAAAGACAGCCACAGTGATGCACACTGTAATCAAAATATCGAAAGCCAAAAGACAGAATCTTAAAAGCACCAAGAGAGGTAACTTGTCAAGTATAAGGCATCACGAATAAGATTATCAGATTTCTCACTGGGAACTTTGGAGGCCAGAAGGCAATGGACTGAAATATGCAAAGTGTTGAAAGAAACAAAAAGAACCACCAAAAATCTTACATTCAGCAAAAATGTCTTTCAAAAGTGAGGGAGAAATCAAGACATTCCCAAATAAACAAAAGCTGAAGGAGTTTGTTACCAATAGACATGCCCTGCAAGAAACGGTAAAGTGTGTCCTTGAGGTTGAAATGAAAGGAAACTAGACAGTGACTCAAAGCCGTATGAAGAAATAAAGATGTCAGTAAAGGTAAATATATAGATGATTATAAAAGCCAGTATTATTGTAACTTTGATTTGTAATTCTACTTTTTGTTTTCTGCATGATTCAAGAGACTAATACTCAAGTGTCCATCAACAGATGAATGGATATACACACAAAGGAATATTATTCAGCCTTAAATAGGAAGGAAATTTTGGCGTATGCTACACACACCATGGATGAATCTTGAAGATGTCATGCTAAGTGATATAAGCCAGTCACAAAAGACAAATACTGTATGATTCTACTTATATGAGGTACCTAGAGTAGTCAAATTCACAGAGACGGAAAGTGGAATGGGGTTGCCAGGGGCTGGGGGCGGGGAGGAACAGGGAGTTGCTTAATGTGCGTAGAGTTTGTTTTACAAGACGAAAAGAGTTCTGGAGATGGACGGTGGTGATGGTTGCACAACGGTGTGTATGTACTTACAGCTACTGAACTGTACACTTAAAAGGGGGTAAGATGGTAAATTTTATGTTATGTGTAGATCACCACAATAAAAATATTGGGAACAAATGTTACTAGAGTGAACAGCAGTGAGGTGTTAACTGGGTAATTAGATTGGGTTAGATAGACATAAGGTTCTGGCTATTAGGGAATGTTTCCCTCAAGAAGTGTTATTTAAACTGACGGTTAAAGAATAACAAGGCAAAGAAAGGAGAAGGAGCATTCAAGGTAGAGGAAACAGCACTTACACTGAGTAGTAAAAGAACTGATTCATTAACAGTTCAAGGTAAACTAGGAGTAATCTCAAAAGAACTGCCTACTAACACAGCAATAAAACAACGTTCTCATTGAACTGATAATCTGACTTTAATTGTTTGATAGTTTCGTTTATATTTAATTTGAGAAAGGGTTTGGTTCTATAGTTGTATAAAAATCAAAAGCAGGATGAATTATTTACTTTTGAGGTTATAATTTAGAATAAAAATTACCAAATCAACAGAGAGGTGTCTGTAGCAGTCTTCCCGAGGAATGCTATGAAGGCCTGAAATGAGTAATTTTAGTTTACGGCAATAAGCACAAAGAATACATTTTTAGGAAAGTATACCAGGAACTATCAGGCTGGAGAACTTCCAAGTGGAAATTCCAAAGATTAGCGTCTGTGCAGGCTGAGCTAAGACCGAGAGAACACAGCAAACTGATCTGCAAACTACTAAAAGGTTTCATTTTGGTTTGGTATTTCAGGATTGAGTCTCTTTCATTCAGGAAGAGAATCAGGCAACAAGGAAAACCCAGTGTCTCCTGGCAGAGTTGAAGCATACAACCAGTGCCCAATCAAAGCTGCTCCACAATACTGCCTAGAAGAGTCGAAGGACAAAGAAAAGTACGTGTATGTATGTATACACATACGTGTGTGTGTCCATATGCATTCATATAGGCACACACATATCTATACATGTGTATATCCTCGATATAGACAGGAATATTTGAATTCATATTTATTAATACTAAACACTTTCCACAGCTGCATCTGTGGAAAAGGGCTTTGAAACTGCAGCTTAAAACCTGTTAGCTAATCATTTATAAACAAAACATGAAAACGATAAAAAGGGGCTAGCCTGGTGGCACAGTGGTTAAGTTCGCATGTTCTGCTTCAGCGGCCCAGGGTTTGCCAGTTCAGACCCCAGGTGCGGACCTGTGCGCCGCTTGTCGAACCACACTGTGGCAGATGTCCCACACATAAAATAGAGGAAGATAGGCATGGATGTTAACTCAGGGCCAGTCTTCCTCAGCAAAGAAGAGGAAGATTGGTGGCAGATGTTAGCTCAGGGCTAATCTTCCTCAAAAAAAAAAAAAAAGAAAGAAAGAAAACCATAAAAAAGTCCAGCTGACTTTAAGTACAAAACAAAGAATTCCAAAGAGCAGTTTAAGCAAACTATTTTCATAGTTGTAAAAGGCAATTAAATTTCAATCTATATTTTAGTACAAATTTCATCCCAAAATAAGTTTATTTATTTTTTTCGGGATCCAAACTGGAAAACTCCAGGCTGCCCAAGCGGAACATACAAACTTCACCTCTGCACCACCCAGAGGCCAGAAAGCTTATTTTTAAAGCTGATCAGATCCATTCATTTGCTAACCATTTATTGAGGCAGCACCTTGTCCTTAGCAAAGGCAATCAAAGTCCCTGTCCTCTTGGAGGTTACATTCTAGTGAGGCAGAGAGATTATAAACAGAAATAAAACATATGTTGGAGATGATAAGATCAATGGAGGAACAAGTAGACAGTGCAGGGGGCTGCAATTTTAGCACAGAATGTTTCCTACAGTATTAAAGTGGGTTTGAGTGTATCACTTCTTAAGTGGGAAAAATTGAAATGTGTTTATATAATAAACATTACTAAAGACAATTAAATGAACTTTAGTTTTAACATACTAGTGTTTTTACTTAAGTCACTATTTTATCATATCTTTAGCACTGCATTATTTAAAAATTTTCTAAGTGGGTTTGTGAGATTGCTGTGAAAGAGATTTTCAAGACCAAAAGAGTTGGGGAGTGCTGTTACATGATTGTGAAACTGCTGCTCAGCCGCACGCGGCTCGTCTCTAGATCAGCGCACGCGGCTCGTCTCTAGATCAGCGGCTCTCCCCGCAGCCAGCGAAGATCCCACCCCCAGAACATTGGGCAGTGTCTGGAGACGTTCTTGGTTGTCATAACTGGGGAGGGTGCTACTGGCATTTATGGAGTAGAGGCCAGTTTCCAGGACAACTGTCCACAACAAAGAACTATCTGGCCCCAAAGGTCAATAGTGCTACGGTTGAGAAACCCTGCTCTAGACAGAAGGACACGCAGACAGACAACCGTGATGATGCGGTGGGCGCTGCTGGAGAAGCCCGGTTCGGCGCCAGGGGACGAGAGTGAGCACGTGGCGGTAGAGGAGACAGGCGCAGGCAGGGAGCCCGGCCTCGAGGGAGAGGAAGGCTGAGCCGCGAGGACTCCAGAAGGCAGGCGGAGCAGGGGGCTGGACGCAGGGACGCGCGGGGTCGGCAGGGAGCAGCAGGCTCCGAGCAGCCGCGGTCACACCCTGTTCCTTTCGAGCGCTTAACTCGATGTAACCAATGTAACCTTAGAAAGTTATATGTAAATCCAATCGCATTTCAAAGTATAAAATTCTTCAATTTCCATATATCAAATTCACTTAACACAAGACGCTCCCTCCCCCAGTGTATAAATCCCAACAGTATCACCCCGCCTTCTGCAAGTAATGTGGGGGAGGCAGCGGGGCCCAGTAGACAGAGCGTTAACCCAGGCTCCCCAGACTGCCCGTGACCTGGGGGAGAGGGGACGCCCGGCCCGGCTTGGGAGCCTCGGTCCGGGAACGCAGGGCGGCCTAGACGGCGCCGAAACCCTGGGTGCACATCGCTGCGCCATTCCACCCCGAACGCGCTCCACCGTCAGAAAAGGGCTGTCATCTTCTATTTTCGTCTTTGCATAAGTAGTTACCTTCACCTAAAATGCTTATCTTTCCCTTCCCCAAATTCTATTTATCCCGTTATTTCTAAAATTACCTTTAAAAAACAGAGGTAAAGTTTACCTCCACTGAAATTCAGATAACGTACTAGGCGCCGAGGGCCGTGACCCGCAGCCCCGCGCGCGCGCAGCCCCCGCCGGGACGCCTTCCGTCGGGCCCCTCCCGCCGAGGCGGCCCCGCGCCCACCCCGCCCGCCGCCCCGCGCGAACCCCGGCCCAGGGACGGCCTCGCCGGGCCGGGCCCCCTCTCGGCTCACTGCAGCTCGCCAGCCGCGGCCTGGAGCCCCTGGCTGAGCCCCTTCCCCCTCGCTGCTGTGGAGAAAGGGCGGGAAACGGGCACACACGCACCACCGGCGCCAGGCCGCGGAGGGGCTCGCAGACCACCCGCTCCCACGCGCCAGCAAGGCCACTCACCCGCCACGCGTGCGCAGTCGCCCGGGAGCGCCCCGCGAGCAGGGGGCGGGGCCGGGCCGCGCAGCCTGCGCGCACGCGCACACCTTCCCGCCGAGGGCGCTCCAAGGCTGGGGACGCAGGTGCCCGGAGGCGTCGGTCCCGCGCAGAGGCGCCGCAAGGGCCGGGGGGGCTGGGAACCGTTCCCTCAGCTTCTCTATCTTATCAGTTGTCTCCAAGAATGATGGCAATGAAAACATATTTAAGGTTTTAATTAGATTCCCTTCAAGCTAAACGCATTCCAAGAAACCTATTTTGCACTTTCGCGTAGATGTACCTTTCACAAACATTAATCAAGGTTTCGTCTGTCTCGTCTCCTCAGTCTTATAATAGAGAAATTAAGACATTAAATTGAGGCTTCATAATAGTGATAGGATTAGAAAAAAATCCTTTAAACTCTGCACTTTAATCAGACATCCTCCTCAATATGATTTGCCTTCCCAAACTTAACGTGGTTAATATGTCTAGCTATATGCATTTTTCATTTTGGGACTAGCTGCAAAGAATGCAAGAGATGTAAATGAGTGCAAGATGTGACGGGTGAACAGGTGATGTAGACAGCTGTCTTCATGCTGAAATAAGACCAGCTACTAAATTGGCCAATAATCCAATTGAGGCAACAACATTCTCTATGAAAACGATTCAAAATGGGGGATACTTTTGGTCAGCAGACTTGCAGTTAATCTTTCAGAGCCTTCAAAGTGTTGAGTGCATTCATCAACATGTATATTAAAACACTTAGCAAAGTACCTGACACCTAACAGGCACTTATAAAAAGTAAGGTACCCTTCCAGCTTGGCAGCTACCAAATCATAAGTGATATATTTATCTTCCATTCCCCAAGGCAATCAATCTATATTATGTTCCTACCTTCCTTTCCGTCATTTTCTTTACCAATTTCATTATCTTGCTAAGTTTTATACATTCTGCTGAATAGCTTTAAATCCTTTAAATAAGGTGAAGATATAAATGAATTTCTCAGCTGTCAAATGATGCCATTCAGTAGTGCATAAGACACGTTTACAACTTTGGGAGAACCATAATTTCTATTTTAAATATTGTTTCAAAATCTATAGCTACAGGTTTTATTTTTCCTTTGACTGCTTTGAATTGACAAGTCTATTAAACCAAATATTTCAAAATCAGGTGTAACTTAGCAAAGGAGCAGGAAAAGAAAATATATAAAACAAACTCAGATCAATAACATGAACGAAGAAACAATAACCAACTTTTATGACAGTGTAATTTTTTACAGAAGTAGTGTTCTATACATAGCAGACTTCCTTGGCTTATAATTTAACAGAAAAGTTTATGTAGAAGCAAATTTGTTTGGTTTGAAATAGATCTCTTTAAGTTTTCAAAGTTTCAATTGCTTTCATGGCACATGAGACGCAACAGTTATCTTCATGTAATGTGTATTACTATATGTTGTTTTTATACTCAAAGTGACCACACAGGTCAGGAAGTTCAAATAGTTTTACCTCCACCAACAGTGCTGACTGCTCAGACAGCGTCACAGTAATACATGAAGATTAAAATTTTCCTAGTGAAACATTTGCATTGTAATTTAATGGTTTTTGCAAGTCATAAAAAATTAAATATCAAAGGCAATTTTATTCTCATTGAAAATTACTTGTCAAGTTAAACTGGACTTGAAAGATGCTTTCAAATCAGTTTCAGTTCACCAACTATTTATGTACTCAGAAATGAGTTTGTTCATCTTTCTACTCCTCAGAAATGGTATATAAAAGAAATGGAGATAACTCTGGAAAGATCTCTTAGGATAAAGATGAAGCTAAACTCAGTGTTCCTTTTTAAAAAAGAACTAGTAATTACCTATAATTACAAGAACACAGATTCAGGTGTTTTTCTTCCATTCTTCAAGTGCTTTATCACCAAATTACTCAAAGTAACGTAAGCATGTTGCAAAGGATGTTCCCTACACTTCTAGTCCCATAAGATGCTTTGAGGAGAAGCTATTCAATAAACTGAGGAAAATCTGATAAAGATCTCAGTTTCACAATGTGCGTTAGTAAAGTAAAGGCTTTAACCTCACACAGTAAAGAAACTTGTTTTATTTCTCCAATTTATTTGATAACAGCTAAGTTATAAAGAATTAGTGATGCATGAAATTCACTTTGGGAATCACTGTTAGTATTTTTGTTGTTGTAGGAATAATAGCATGTTCACCACTGACTATAAATAGACCAATTTTCTCATTTAAAAAGGAAGACACAGTAAACAATATAGGGAACTCCACCACAATACTACCTGGCGGTGTGGATGGGCTCGGGAGTCACATTACACTGACGCGAGGTTACCACAGTACTTAAAAACAAGTAGTGACTACTGGGTATGGGGCTTGTGTTAGGACACATTTATCTAATGGAGCAAAGGTGTTCTTGGAAATAATCTTTAAATATGATGGAATTTACTGAGTAGCTACTACTATATTTTATCCATGACTGTGTTCTAAAGTTTTTCTTTGGGAAGAATCAACAACATTTATGGTCCTAAAAGAGTTGACAGGTGTGTGGAAATTAATGTAAACCCTAAGTAGCTTAGTTAGGAATTGAATCTGGGCTTCTCTGCCTCTCCCCAGTTCAAAGAGCTCTGCCAGCTCAGTCCTCAGAATAAACCATCTGGGGCAGTGCAGTTGTGAGCAGGTGTACAAATGAACACTGGCAGCCTAAGCTCTTGGGCTTAATAAAAGGAATATTTGAAGACTAACCTGGCAAAGCAATCAGAAGCAAACACTCTCAAAACTTAAGAAAACTGCTAACTACCATGGGAATAAAAATACTTAGCTCAGAAGCTGGCCTGGTGGCGTAGTGGTTGGGTTCGCACGCTCCTATTTGGCAGCCTGGGGTTTATGGGTTTGTATCCTAGGTGTGGACTTATGCACCACTCATCAAGCCATGCAGTGAAGGCATCCCACATACAAAACAGAGGAGGACTGGCACAGATCTTAGCTCAGTGACAATGTTCCTCAAGCAAAGAAAAAAAATACTTAGCACATCCCTTTCTAAGCTCTCTCTCTCCAGGTTTTTCATTTATGAACTCTGGAAAGCATCAGTGACTTATCTCAGGTTCACTCTTATGCTAGATGTTAAAAATAATTTACAGAGAGAGTTCAGCAGGAAGTTGATTTATGTCCTAGAACTGAGAGAAGTATGCTGCCATTAGTACTTTATGGAATTTTCAAGCAAAAGATTTTCTCATTGTTTTCATATGAATATGCCATTTGCTTTCACTTAGTTTTAAAAGAAAGTCAAAATGGGGCGGGGGGGGGGGGGGGGGGGGGGCTGCAGCACCAGCCCAGTGCCGTCAGTTTAGTTTTCATGCTCTGCTTCGGCAGCCAGGGGTTCGCTGGTTCGGATCCCAGGTGCAGACCCATGGCACTACTTATCAAGGGGTCGCACATATTAAAAAAAATAGAGAAAGATGGGTACAGACGTTAGCTCAGGGCTGATCTTCCTCAGCAAAAAGAGGAGGATTGGCAGCAGATGTTCAGTCAGGGCCAATCTTCCTAAAAAAAAAAAGTCAAACCAGGGCCAGCCCAGTGTCATAGTGGTAGGGTTTCCATGCTCCACTTTGGCAGGTTCAGATCCCAGGCATGGACCTACACACTGCTCATCAAGCCATGCTGTGGTGGCGTCCCACATGGAGAGTAGAGGAAGACTGGCACAGATATTAGCTCAGGGACCATCTTCCTCAAGCAAAAAAAGAGAAGATTGGCAATTGGCAATAGATATTACCTCAGGGCCAATCACCCTCACCCTCATGAAAGAAAGGGAAGAAAGGGAAGGCAAGGAAGGGAAGGAAGGAAAAGGAAGACAGGAGAGAGGGGAGGGAAGGGGAGAAGGGGAGGGGAGGAGGGAGGGAGGGAGGAAGGAAGGAAGGGAAATTGAACTGCCATTTGAGATTACAAAGAACACACAAGACCCAATCTGGGATCCTACATGTAAAAACAAAAATGTTTCATAATCTAATCCGTGCACCAAAGGCATCATTCATTAATGCATTCAATATAAGCCAACTGTGTTTTCAGAGAGCACCATTATTTAAAAAACAATATCAGATTTTTATATTTGGGACCTTTAAAATCATCTATGGCTCTCTCAAATGACAAATGATTAGCCTGTGCCTAAGGTCCCACCCTTAATAATAAAAGAGGAGAAACAAAAACTCAACACACACTCTACTTAGTCCTCTTAAATAACCTAATTGTTCTTTATCCATCCTTGGAGTGGAATCAAATCTCAATATAACCTAAGAGATACCATTATAAATCAATGAATATCCAAAGCAAAATCAAGTTTAAAATAAATATATTTTCAAAATGCATTTTCTTTCTTAAAATTTCAACTTTTCACTGCATATGTTTACAAGATTTAAGAGCAGGTAAAGGGTGAAAGTCTGTCTGACACACAGCAGAATGGTAATTTTCCACCTTCCCTGAAAGGCCAAAAAGAATGACCCAAACTACTAAATGGATTTACTACAATATGCCCCAAATCCAATGATTTAATTAATAACTCTGAAATTGTTTCTAAGACTGTGAGCTGAGATAAAAATAAATGTGCTCAATACTAGAGAATATAAACAAACCTTTGATTTTCTTTCTGAATCCTGGACATTCTATTAGGATTGGGTGTTCTCCTGGAAGGTAATATTTCTATTTTATCTATACAGATATGTCCTGACATCTTTTATTTAAAATTATTTTACAACTGTGTAATGTCCCCAGTGTCAATCATCCTATGATGGTAAAAGAACCAGTACCATTTCAATAAGTTTCATAAAATAGTCTAGCTAAATACCCATGAACAAATCACACATGATCAAAACAAAAATGTAATAAAAATATTTAGTGAAAAGACACACTTTAACTCCAATTTATGGATTTAAAAAATACAAATAAAATTTTATCAATTTGATATTCAGCTTGTAACTGGCTTAATACATAGCCTTAATTTATTTCCTAAAATCATATTGTAGCATCTTTTGAAAAATTAAATGCAACTTTATACCTTCATTAGTAATGTTAATAGAGGTAAATATTTAAACAGTAACACTTGTCCCTGGGTCTCTTAAAAAAACTGAAAAGTCTTAGTGTAAGTTTAAAATTTTAATATTTATAAATTTAAAAAATTTTACACGTGCTGAATGGTAGCAGTGCTAACATTTTGCGACCATTAAACCACAAACTCACTGCATGGAGCTTTTTTCTTTGTACAGAGAACCAAATCACAATACCAATATTTGTAATTTGTCATAATTTTATGTGGTAAAAGACACCACACCAGGAAACCTGGGCTCAGAACACACTTGAGGTCAGATCCCAATAGGTACATAGTGCAGATTCAGTATTTAATTCCAGGCTAGGAAAATCAGCTATTAGTACATATCTGACAGCTCCTAATAGCTAAGAGGTCTAAGAATAGAGTCTGAAAAGGAACAAACAGAACCTCTCCAGTGCTGGGAAGGCCTGGGAATAGGTGAAGAGCAAACCACGGCGGATGAGGTGCATAAAGATGGTTTGCTACCAGTATGAGCCTCAGGAGTCTTAAGACTGACATTAGTGCACGCTACACCTCCCAATCCCCACCGAAGCTGCCTCAGAATCCTTCAGTTTTACAAAGACTTACATACAGAGAGCTAGAGGCCAGAAACAGATCACTTCATCCGTCCTCTTCAGAAGAGAATGGATGCCCATTATTCAGCTTATATCTTTACCTGAACCAAATATATTCTTTGGCTAACTGTGTCATAGGTTCCCATTATAATCCATCAGGAATACTTCACATTTCTTACATGTAAATTAAAATGTTTAAAATTCAACTCGAACCACGGCACTTCAAATCAATTTGAGCTCAGCAATATACCCTAATTTGGACATTATTTAATTTTAGAAAATCAATTTTTAAAGAATTCTTAAATGCAGTGTTTCCAGAACATAGTTACCAAGTCAGAGAATATCCACTTACATTTTAAAATAATTTAAAACATTATATCCTCAGTCAAGCTATGTTGTTTTGTAGAAGAATTTACAGAAAATTATAATGTGAAAAACTCATATCCAAAACACTTCTTTATTCTCTGGTTTAAAAAAAAAAAAAACCCTAAGAAGTATTGAAGTTCCTTCTGTCTTAAGGGTTTGATATTTTATTTAGGAACCAATAACCATAATTATCTGTCAGAGACAGCTAACTTATAAGGTCTAATAACAGCCACCTCTTAACGACAGGGGTGGCAAACAGAAAGAAGTAAAATTGTAATAGACAAAAATAGCATTTTAAGGGTTCAATCAACACTGTATACTAGGACACTCAAACCTGAAATCCTTGAAACTGACAGCTAGTTCTCCTCAATACTTGAGGGGTTCATACAAGTATTAACAGAAATGGGAAATACGGTGATAATAGAAATACAAAGACTTGACAGTTTTGGTAAAAGAGAAAGTTCAAAGACTGTAAGGGGAGTGTTAAATAATGCTGACTGGGGGGAAATTACAAAGATGCTTGGTTTTGAAATAAAAATTGTCAAAAAAAAGTACAGACCATCTCAGCTGAACAGAGTACTATAACATAATTAGATACATGATTTACAATGAAGTAAGACTAAATCCTTAAAATTAGTTTGAAAAAAATTGCAAAGTTTTTTTACATAAGATGTCACACTTTATACCAGACAAAAACTCAATGCAGTGATGTTAACATGCCACTGTCTTCCAACAGATTAAGAGACAGCAGGGCAGAAAGACCCAAATAACTGTGTTGAAAAGGACATTGTCAAATACTGTTATAAGTAGTTTAGCTACCCAGGCAGCCACCCATCCAGAAGGACCATAAAAGCAAGCCAATCTTTTTAACAGAGCTATAAGAATATAGTTACAGGTGCTGTTACATGGATATGAATTGTGAAAGTACAAATCCTTAGTGATTGTGCTTTGGGACTCCGTAGAGATTGTGCCTTGGGAAACAAATGGGCCAAGGAAGATAAAAGCAAACAAAGAATGAACTGAAAACTAGAGGTTAAAGGATACTATATATATGAACAACAGAAATTTTATAAAACACAAAATTCTAAAAAATCATACTCCAGTGTCCCTTTAACATATATAAAAAAGGGGCACAAATAATGTTTTTGTTTTTAAAATTCTTTTGACAACTTAATAGTCAGTTTTAATAGTTAAAATCAATTTACTAGAATTAAGCCAGTATGCTTGACAACCACTGGGTCAAGAGCATTAAAACAAAACCCCCTAAAAATGAGAAGCCAATAAACAAAGCTAAAGACAACTGAACAAAAGACCCAAACTAAACAAATATCCAATCAGGAAAACATACACACAAACACCCTGAAAAGAGTTTAGCTGTTACAATTAAGTGGCATCCCCATTACCTAAAAAATGGTGGTAGCTTTTTCCCCCCAATTTGCCACTAATCAACATTTTGGTGATATCTTAAGTATTATTTGGTCCAATCTAAAGTAAATCTTGTTTTAATTAAAAGTGATCTAATGAAATTGAAGTTTTGTAATAGCATCTGAGCAAATTTAGCAAATACATTTCTGTTTAGATGAAAGTTATTAAATACAGACGCCTTTTGATTTACCAAGGCATTCCTTTCCTATTCATTGTTATTTTTAATAATAACTTGATTACAGATTTGTCATGGCCAGTGGACCTATCCAGTCAGTTGTGTGTTTCAGCGCCCTTTGGCACAGGGACTATATTTATGACACAGAGAAACGCATAGCTCACTACTACTGAGAAAATATGATGGAGCTGGGAAATATAAAACATCAAGAACAATGCAAAACAAAGTGATCACTGCTGTCTATGACTTCAAGTTCTTTAAGGGAAAAAAAGAAGAAATCTAAAAATAAATGCATTGTTCAAAGTATTTTTAAAAATATAACAATATGCATATTTCATGAAGGGTACTATCAGTCTTTTCCTAGCTATCTTTTAAGATGTTTCTGCTCCACCACAGTTGTAACTGAATGGTGATCAAATTCAGAGAAATGTTCCTCAAAAAGTTGTGTCTCTAGGCTTTGCATTCACTTGTGGCTAACATCGCATGCGCAGGTTGGATGTAATTTTGATGTTCCAGTTTTGATAACTATAACTGTTAATAGCACAGAGTTATACAGAGTTTTGAACAGCATCATATGTGAAGGTGCATATGCTACACGCAATTCAGATAGTAACACTACTTTCAAGGACAGGTTAGCCTACAGATGTCAAGAACACAGCAGAAGGAGAAAGCCCACCCATGGGAAGCACAATTTCAGAGTCCGTCTGCACCAGAGTCCTCTGTCACTGTGCTGGGTGATGCTGACATTGCAGTGGGGAGAGTTTCATGTGCCTGTGGTTTATAAATTAACTTTCATTTCCATAATTTAAGCTGGCAGACAGAATTAAGGGGAGCATGGCAGCAGTATAAAAATCCTGATTAGAAAAATCAAGCTAGAGGACCTAAGGTGAATTTTTTAATCTCAAATTAAATTTACGTGGCTCCTGTGAAATGAGGATAATACCCATTCTAGCATAATTATTGCCCCTAATGCCCCAATGTATAACAGTCTGTATGAATCAATAATTCACATCCTTTAAAATAGTTATTGCTTAAGCAAACCATTCAGAGTAGATTATTACTCATCAGCTACATGGCTGGATAGAAACATACTCAAAAAATTAGACTACACATGAATGAGCCTTTCATTTCCCTCATAAACCCACACAAATACATGATCAGAAGGGCATAGCAGCTAACACCCTAAACCAACTCTGAAGCATCAAGACTTGATTTCATAAATCTGCTCCTTTTTGTATTTTCTTTTTAAAATTAAGGCAATGAAATGGCTACGGTTCCTAAACTTCTTGTTACGGAACAAAAATATACACGTATTTTCCTCCTCAAGTTCAGGCATCAGAGTATGATTAAAGACCTGTATTATGTGAAACCTCCAACACCAGGCTGATGTTACAAAAAGACAGTGAGGGATGGCCTGGTGGTATAGCGGTTAAGTTCATGCGCTCCACTTTGGAGGCCCGGGGTTCGCAGTTCTGATCCCTGGTGCAGACCTACACACCACTTATCAAGCCATGCTGTGGCAGGCATCCCACATACAAAATAGAGGAAGATGGGCACAGATGTTAGCTCACGGCTAATCTTCCTCAGCAAAAAGAGGAGGATTGGTGGTGGATGTTAGCTCAGGGCTAATCTTCCTCAAAAAAAAAAAAAAGAAAAGAAAAGAAAGAAAGAAAGCAAGCGAGAGCGTGTGCTAAAAAGAAGTGTTTTTCCTCCTGCTGAATTACAAAGCTAATCATCAAAGGGAGGAAACATTTGAAAGCACAAAACCTCTTAAGAGTTTTCAGTGTCTTTTGCATGATTCAAAACTTTTGGGGTGGAGAGAGAGGAGCTTATTAAAATGAAGACTCCCAGGTCCAACAAACAGAAACTCTGACCCTGACAGTCTATAGTTGGGCCTAAGAATCTATCTTTTCAACCAGCTCCTCAAGCGATGCCGGTGCTCCATGGACATCATTTTGAGAAACACAGCCGAACATATGTCCATCTAATATTTAATAACAAAAATTCTAAACTTTGGCTAGCCACCTAATGTTTTGATAAAGGGGGAAAAGGCACTGAATATGTATTTCATGGTGCCCATATCTGTTTGCACATATATGGAATTTCGTTTTGAAATTTTTAAATCATCATTCAAAATCTACAAGACATATCTGACAAATTGTGGCTAACACCTAACAGCAGAAGCTGATTCAAAGTTGACCTCTCCTGTTCCACGGCATTACACATCAAGCGTTCAGGCTCTCCAGAATCCAAGATGGCCAAAGAACTGGAGAGCAGGACAAGACTCAAGTCAACTTACAGCAATTCAGTGCACTTTGCAGAAAGGATCTAATTAAGCATAAAGTTTTGTTGTTTATTTTACACAAAGGAGACCACCGACATTTGCCATAAATTCTTCTAAACTCTTTAGGAAGGCCACCTTCTGCTTCCGATCCAGCGTGGGAGGAGTGCTGCTTGCGGTGAGCTTATTGAAGGCATCTGCTAATCTCTGGTAAATAACTGGGTCTTGCTGACTGGAGAGTAACGTTTCAACCAATTCAGAATATTCAGCCTATTGAAGAGATAAAGTATACATAAGAACACGTTATCTTCCTCAAATATCACATAAGTAGACTGTATTAGCTCCTGGATCGTGGGATTCTAAAAAGCAGGGTCTAACAGCTCTTTCTAATAGTTAACATTTGCTCAAAGTTTACTAGATTCTAGGTACAGTTCCACTCTTTCACATTAATAACTCATTTTTTATAAACAATCCTATGAGGTAGGTATTGTTTATATTCCTGTTTTACTGATAAAAGTTCTTACATACAGTGAGATTACGTAATATGTCCAAGATCACACTGCCTTTAAAAAGCAAGAATCCAAGGCTGTCTGTCTCCAGATCCTATGTGATTACCAATTTTGTCATGTTGCCTCTTCTGTTTTCAAAGTACATTATTCGTATTTATTTTGCATTTTATACATAACCTAAGTCTGCAACCTGACTTTCAGCAGTTTCCCAGAGGTTTATATAAACACTTGTCGACAGGGTCCTGAAGACAGCAGATCCCCACAAATACAGACAGGAGTTGTTTGGGAGGAGGTGGCACAGTGGGAGGAGTGTATTTCAGTCCTTTCTCAAAGTGGAAGTAGGACGCTCTGCATGTGCAAATGTAGCTCCAATCCAGCACTGTCCCTGGTGGCTCTCGGAGCAAGGGCAGAAGGAGCACAACAAACACAGGAATGGGGGGGGGCGCGTGTGTGTGTATGTGCAGTTTTTTTACTTTTAATGCCCTCCATAATAAAGCCTTGTACAGAGGAGTGGGTGTGGGGTTAAGGGAAACTCAACCAGGGCAACTTTCCAAGATAAGCTCTCCTGAAAAAGAGCTGGTCTGTCACTATTTTTCATTAGCTTCTTGGGATGTCATGACAGACAAAAATAGTGAAGCCAAATGGAAAAAAGTAGTAAGGCATGGCCCCCCTGCCCGCCACCCACAAGCACAGAGCCAGGGTGGCTGCCCTAATCGCCCTATCCAAGGGACAGACCTGCTCACAGGGGACAATTATCAACTCAAATCATTTCCCTACTTTCAAGAAATGGTAGCGCCTCTGGGACCAGACCAGCAAGATCTACTACCCAATCCCAAGTGCCTGCTCTCTTTTCTACAATGAGTGAATATGTTTTTTAAAAAGGCAATCAGAATGATGGCTTATATATGTGGGGACAAGAAGCCTATTTCCCTAGTAAACAACAAGGAAGTCAAATGACAGAGAAATGGCACCATCTGCAGAAAGTACTATCTATAGAAGAGAGCAAGACATGAAGTCCCCCAACACCTTCAGCTTGGGGTGCAGATGGTGCAGGAAGTCTGCTGAAAGGGAGTCTTTAAGTAGGATGGAAGACCTCACCAAGATGCTGTCTTTTTAAAGAAGGAAAATAAATCAAATCCTGAGCACCAGTCACAGCAAATGCTACAGCCTTCATACTTAAAATTTGAAAAAAGCAAAGCTTCTCTAGCCAATCACTTGATACTGCTGGACGTGTACATGCGCACAGGGGTCAGGGCAGCTGGGGGACTGGGAAACAGGCAGCTGACGATTCAACATGAGTCTTCTCACACAGCTGAGGGGCACCTCCTCTACTGCAGTGGGGAAGGGAGACAGGTGAGCCAGCATTAACTTTTCTTCTGTTCTATTAACCCCAAATCAGTGAGTGCATCAGAGTCTTTAAAGGCTCAAAAAAATTACACAGTTTTCTACAATATAATATGAAGCAATACACTATTTCCACACTGTAATATGAAATAATACACTGCTGTTTTCTATGCTTTCTGAAGGCAGACGCCTCTGGGTACTCAGTCTCATTCATCCTGTTCCCCTTACAAAACTGTGAGCTCCTCAAGGACAGAAACCATGGCTCCATTACTCTTCCATGTCTGATTCTTGGTTCGTAGCATGGTCGTTTCAGGATAAGCTTTAGGGCAGTGATCAATGAAAACGATGGCACATAATGGTAAAGAAGGGAAAATAAATGCTTATTAACTGAGAGATAGCTTGTCAAATAAACACAAAATATAAAGTCAGAGCTACTGAGGAAGTGAAGAAACACGGCCTCAATGAAACAGAACTGAAGCACTGAATCACAGATTCTTTAAGAATTGGAAGTATTACTGGTCCATCATCTGTCTAAACAATGTCCCTGCTAAATGAACAAGAAGAGTCCCATGAAGAAACACACGTGTGGTACCTGATGCAAGCACACCAATGTGTAGAAAGCTTCTCCAGCCGCAGTGGTCATCTCTGTGTTGTGCTTTTGCAAAACCAGCATATCAAAAACCAGCTGAAAGTACATAATGAAACCTTTAAATAAAGATAGGTGATGATCATATAATCCTCCAGGCCCTTCCCATTCCAAAAAAGAAAAATAGGGGTAACATTTATTCTTATTTGCTAAATAAATCTGAAAATTAAAGAAAATCATTTTAAAAAACAGGATTACGTACAGATGTTATTACTTGCTGTGGTACATAAAATAATCAAATTATCAAATTCCTCATTACATTTGCCACATCAATTTTTTTCCCTGCTTTTTCTCCCCACTCCCACCCCCGTCCCGTACATAGTTGTATATTTTAGTTGCTAATCCTTCTAGTTGTGGCATGTGGGACGCCACCTCAGCATGGCCTGATGAGTGGTGCCACGTCCATGCCCAGGATCCGAACCAGGAAACCCTGGGCCGCCAAAGCAGAGCTCGCGAACTTACCCACTCGGCCACGGGGCCGGCCCCTACCACATCAATTTTTAAGAACAGAAAATAAAAGTGGAGAAAAATGTGTCCAGGAAGTTGATCTCCAGAAAATACAGTGAACAGAAAGTAATTATTTCCACATCTATGAAAGTGTTTCCTCATTTGAATGAAGATTTATGTGCACTGACTGTACTTATCAAAACAGACGGTTTCACACACACCACCCGAACACCTTACCTTAAGAAAGTGCCGTGTTGCTAGGAAAAGTGGTGAATCTGTTTCTTGTGCTTTTGCACACTGTTCAGCTAATGGCGTTAACGCTTCCAGGCAAAGCTGGCAAACCTCCGAACTCATTCTGATCACGAAGGTCAAAGAACAAACTAGAGTAGATATACTTGACTTACCAAAGATAAAAAAATTATAGCTATTATCAAATGGATGACTACTTCTAGAAATGAGTACAGATAAGTGAGTATATTAGTGTGCAATATGTCTTTACCGAATTATGAGAGAAAAGATTTGCAGTGTTTTTGAGATGATTCATAAGTGTTTGGGGTCTAAGACTGGAGATTTCTAGCGTGTTTCTGATTATAATGCATACAACTGAGAAAAAGTCATATTATTCTCTACCATCAGATAGCTAAGATGAGAGACTTAGCAACAGGATATGACATTACTAATTGGGGGCACTTAATGAAACAGTGACTTTGGGACCAGGGGCCAAATGCCACTGGTATCTGTGAAAGGAGGACAAAATGAAGTAAACTAATGAAGGAAACACAGAATTAGGGCAGTTACAGAGATGACTGCTTTTTTAAGAAGTAAAACTAAACCACAAAAGAAAAAATAAAATAAAAATCTTAAAAACCTTTCCCCCAGTGACAAGTAATAAAGATGTCCATTTAAAGGATATGACGTCATTCCTAGTTCTAGAGAGTACATCAGACTTTTAAAAAGATCTTCAGGAAGCTGTGGTATTTTTTCAGGAAAAATCTCGCAGATAAATGTGATTAATTTGTAGTATTGATTACAAAGGGTTGGAAACTGAAAAAGAAATATTAAATATTTAGATTCCTAATGGTATCTAATTTCTATTTTCCTTAATGCAATACAATAATAACTGACAAGCTTCTAAGTATAATGATTTCTTCAAAACACATACAAGATATAGAAAACATGAAGACCTAATTAAATGTAAACATAAGTTTCCATAAAGGGAATATTTTAGTAACTAATATGAAAGTAATACATAGTAGAAACAATGATCTTTTGGACAGTTAATAAAAGCTACAGCCAATTCCAGATATTCTGGTGTTTACTTTGAAAAAGTAGCCAAATCTCAAATTATTAAATGATCTGTGAATAAAACCCTTTTGTAAATGTGTTTATTTGCATTCAAGCATGTTGGAGAATACAAGAATGTGATGCAAATTGTTAAGATTATGCATAGAACAGAGTACTCAGCGCCTCACACTTCCAAAATCTACCCTCCGGTTGGATGGTCCTGGAGAACTGAGGCAAAAAGTAGGTAGGTAATCTACAGGTTGCCTTGCTTAAGAAAATACACGTTTAATGGTTTATTTGATTAAAAAAAAACCCAAACCAAAAACCCTAAAAGCGAATCAATAGAGAGTTTATTAAACTTCCCCAGGCGAATGGTTGCTGCATGAATACCTGGCTCACGGGGCCCCAGAATCCTTTCCAGTAGAGAAGTTTCTTAAGGAGAGCAGCGTGTGGTTACATCCTGCTAGGTGAGAATCTAACAGCACCCTGACTCTCACACTCAACCTCCAAACGCTGCTCAATCTCTACTTTCTTCCCTCCTCCTACCTCTTTCCCTCTCACACTCTATCTTGTGCATGCACACACCCCTCCCTCTTCCTCTCCGTCCCTGTCTTTGTCCCCAGCCTTAGCCCGCTATGTCACCTCATGAAAAGAGAGTCCCTCCTCTACGGTATACAGGGGAAGAAGAAAGGCAGCCTCCTCATCACCACACCCTCAATACTGCCGGGTGAAACCAAGCCATTATGTAGTCAGAACACAAAAATTAAAAAACTGCGTTAGTCTTGGTTTCTTACCATCCCATTTCTACAGGGAGTGGCTTAGAAAATGCCTTCTGTTGCTCAATTCCTCAACCTGAGAATGATGTTCAAAAGTATCAGAGGAATACACTTAAATATATAACTTACTTTATTCGCTTAATGACAAATGATGAGTGAATCAAAACGGCTAACATTAGAACTCAGTTTCTAAAACAGCCAGGTTTTTTCTGTCACTAATGCATCAGCAAACAAAGGACTCAGGGGGAGGATTAAGTGAGGGCCTGTGTACTGAGCTACACGCACAGTGTGAATGACACGTAACAGCACTCAAACATTTTATTTTCATGTGTACTTAACAGATAAGCAGGTACTTAAACCTCTAATTAAATCAGAGGTGTATTCTTGTCTTAAACATCTTTAAACTTTGAGCATGCACAGTTTTACGGTTCGCATTCACTTTCTTCAATTACCTTCAGAAGGTCTTGAGACATCAAGGGCAGAATTAGGTTGACTCCATATAAAACAACATCAGCTGCCGACACAGGTCTGTTTGCCGCTTGCCCCGGCTCATGTCCTCTAAACACTTCATCTATTAAAATAAAAATAATGCAACCTTATAGTTGTAACATCAACAAACCTACCAAGTTGGATATATTCTACCTTCAGGAAAGTGGAAACGGACTCAAACCCCTAAGCCAAAATAAATCTATGAAGGGATAATAAAGACATCTGGTAAGCCTTGCCCTGGGTCATCCTTTGCATTTCATTTTTTAGGGTCTCTGAGTACTTGATGCAGATACTCTGTGTTTACATTATTATTCTACAACAATGAAAGTAAAACTACTGCTTAATCAATATTTTGAAAAGTAAAATCTACTCCACCAACACACTGGTCATACGATGAATTAAATAATTTCCACAATAATATTTATTTTATCTCTTAGGTATGTGTAATTTTTCTAAGCTGAAAAAGAATGGAGAAAAATATAGAAATTAAAACATTACATAAAAAAGAAAGTAGTTTTTAAAAAAGTTACTAATATGACAAAGGGTTATTATCCTTAATCTATAAAGAATGCGTATAAATTAATAAGAATCCTAAGACCCAAACAGATAAGTGAGCAAAACCCATAAACAAACATCTAACAAAACCACAAACCCAATGAAAATCAGTTCATTCTAATCATTCATCAAACAATGTAAACGTTTTCAAGATACTGCTTCTGATGTATTAAATTAAAAATGACTTTTAAATGATAACATGTAAATGTTGGTGAGGACACAGTGTGATAGTTACTCTCAAAAGCAGTATATTAAGAGACTTTTGAGCATTGTATATACTAAGGATATAGTAAGAAATTCAGAGATCTATCCACAGAAGTGACGCCTGCATCACTATTTATAATAGCAAAATCATAAATGTACTGTAAATTGTAGATGTCCAATATTAGGGAAACAGGCTAAATTCCCAAATATGGAACACTGTGCAGCCGTCAAGAAGTCATGCAAAATTTTAATGAGAAGGAAAAAGCTAACAATAATGAAAAAGGCAGAATATAAAATTATACTTGAGTGTGATCGCAAAGAAAACTGTACAAAATAACCAAAAGAGAAATTACTGAAATGGAATTTATAGTTGATTCTGGATTATGTCAAAGTTTGGGTGATTGTTCTGTCTCTGTACTTAAAAATTTTTCTATTAAGAGCTATGACTTTTATAACAAGAAAAAAAAAAGGTAAAACGGGGTAATAAAAAGCACTTCTCCTTGAAAACCACTTCCTCAGCCTAATTCTGAACTTCTCCCCAGGAGTGTCAGTTCTAGTTGGAAGAATCCCATTTTCCAAAGCCGGGCACTGGTGCACATGGACTCCACTCGGCGGGAAGGCTGGGCCTGCTCTGGAGCTGTGGGAGGACAGCTGTGGAGCTCACCCACAGCCGCTGGGCCTCTCAGGGCCTGTGAAGGCCGTCCCGACTTGAACACTGTGGGACCAGCTCTCTAGTCACGAGCTCCACTGAGGATTCAAGAATGTAGCGCTGAAGCCCATTTCCAGTTATGCTTTTAATACCTCACCTAATATGTTAATTTTATTTCATAATATTTAAAATGTTCTTTATCTCACTTAGTATTTTTAATTATTCTAAAATCTAATATCTTCCTCTTTATCATCTATTTGATCAGCTAATGCTGTTTCTCTATCATTTTCTATTTTGTCTTCATTTTTCTTTCTTCTAAATTTCAACCCTACCTACCCTTATTTTAATCTTTCCCCCTTAATTTGTACTTTAAATCCTGAGCATTTTAGTTGCGATTTCTTTTCTTAATGTTTTATTATGATTTTAAGTTTTTTATTTTGAAAACCTCCCCCTCAACTGTTTATTGTTAGTTCTACAATCTGTTTTCAGAATAGCAGAGAGGGGAAAGTGCAACTTGCACCGGAAACCTGGGAGCCTAACAGGGCTTTTCCCTCCAAATGCCTTTCACAGCTCTTCCATCCCTTTCAGGATTTTTTTTCTTTTCTTTTAAGATTGGCACCTGAGCTAACCAAGTGTTGCCAATCTTTCTTTTTTTTATTCTCCCCAAAGCCCCCCAGTACATAGTTGTAGATTCTAGTTGTGAGTGTCTCTGCTTGTGCTATGTGGGACACTGCCTCAGCATGGCCTCATGAGGGATGCCATGTCCACACCCAGGATCCGAACCGGTGAAACTCTGGGCCGCCGAAGCAGAGCGCACGAACCCAACACTCGGCCATGGGGCCGGCCCCCATACCTTTCAGCATTAGTTCTTAACTTTGAGTCAGACTCCTCGGGGTGCAGGCACTTAAGCTGGGGCCTTACACCCCTGCAAGGTCGAAGAGTTCCCAAGGTCCATGAATCAACTAATAGAGTATGTGAAACTCTGTGGGTTGATATAACACACAATTTTCAAGGGAAAGGCTCAGTAACTATTCCAGATTTTAAAGGCACATCTGATCTAGAAAAGGTTAAGAACTTCTGGATTAAGAAGCAACAACCTGAAGGAATCAGAAAACATGAGAATGACACTTGGATAAGAGGCTGGGCCTAGAAAAAGAGTGGCAGCTGAGGCTTTGGTATAAAAAGAATTCACTGAGAGAAAGTGTAGGACAGTGCTTTTCAAACCATTTCACCTAGGTACCCCTAGTTAACTGTGAAAGAGAGTAAACCTTCTAGACTGTGAAGCTCATGGTGCCTAGGACAGGGCAGACACTGGAAAAAACCCTTGTTCAGCAAATAAGGAAAATGAAACAAGAAAGGAAACAGAGAAAAAACAATCTCAAGTATTGGGAGTAACGAGTAAAGTGGAATGTTACAGTATCCAACTTAGAGAGAGAATCTCAAAATGAAGAAGTCAACAGTGTCCACTACCACAAATGTCTGCACAACACATGAAAGAAGATGCTAGATAGGATTCATTTTTCTCTTAGAAGACAAGATCCCTTTTGTTTTAAGGCAAAGTTGGCAGTGGGGTAAGAGTCAGGTGAAGGAAAACTAAACAAACAAATGGAAGAACCTAATTCATTGAAGCTATTATTACTATTATTCCTATAAGAGGAAGGGCAAGCACAAGGGCTATGGGTCCCACTCTCACTTCAAACAAAGAGGTCGACTTTCATCTACAGTCATGGGCTGCACGACCATGTTTGGGTCATATGTGATGGTGATCCCAAAGGGTTAGTATCCTATAGCCCAGGTTTGTGTAATAATCTAGGTTTATGTAAATATACTTTAAGGTGTTTGCACAATGACGAAATTGCCTAACGATGCATTTCTCAGAACACACCCCGACATTAACTGACGCATGACTGTATTTTGTGAACTGAACTTCTTCACGGGATTTCACTTAATGAGAACATTCCTTTGCTTTGATAAAAACAGTAACAACAAATTTAAAAACGATCACACCACACCTTACCTGTATCACTGAAATCTATGAATTCTTTTGATAGAAGGTTAGTAAGAAGTTCCATAATGAGAAGCAAGTCTTGGTATTGCTCTTCCTCAGCTGTAACATCTATTCTTTGCCGCCCTAAATTATTCTTAGAATATACTTGCAACAAAGTAAGGCAGGCTTCATATAAGTTCATAGCTTTGGACTGTAAGAAAGCATGCATACATTATGCTACTAGGCAGTGCCTACCTGGGGACACATATAAATACTAAAGAAACTTAAAAACATAATCTAATAAATTCACTCAATTCTAATAATAGCTCTAATATGTTTTAAACTATACTAAAACATTAACAAGAATGAAAAAGCATACATTAACTATTACAGACATGTTTAAAACATATAAAACAATAACAATAAAATCTGTCATCCAAGTTTTTGGTTACTTGATAATATATAATAGAAAGATGATAAGATTTTGGCCACAGAATTGCTTTACTTCTCCTGTTCAGCTTCCTGTATAAAATTTAGTATTTTAAAGTTTAAAATTGTTTTACCTGCAAAAGCACAGAGTACCAAATAGTGGTCTTAAATATTACAATAAACAGCACTGGCCTGCCCTCTCAGTAATGTATCTGTGACTACATTTATAGATTTATAGAATATAATCTTACTTTTAAGCAGGTTCCTTTACTCTAACAAAAAATGTTTACAAATCAGGAACCTATATTAAATGATCTGGAATAAGATATAAACTAATCTGCTAACAAATACAAATATATTCCTTAAAGGCTATTTTAAAATAGCTTTCTAAACACAACTGTGCCCCCCTTATCTAAGGAGGATACATTCCAAGACCCTCAGTGGATGCCTGAAACCACGGATAGTACTGAACCCTATACTGAATCCAATAAGGAGACAGTCGATCTGATGACAGTTGATTGATAACTGAAATGGCTCCTAGTGACCAATGGGCAGGTGGCATCTACAGTGTGGATATGCTGGACAAGGAGATGATTCATATCCTGGGCTAGACAGGGCAGGATGGGATGGTACAGTGTGAGATTTCATCACACTACTCAGAGCAGTGTGCAATTTAAAACTTATTATTTCTGGAACTTTCCATTTAACTTTTTTTTTTGGGGGGGAAGATTAGCCCTGAGCTAACTATTGCCAATCCTCCTCTTTTTGCTGAGGAAGACTGGCCCTGAGCTAACATTCATGCCCATCTTCCTCTACTTTATATGTGGGACGCCTAGCACAGCATGGCATGCCAAGTGGTGCCATGTCTGCACCCAGGATCCAAACCGGCAAACCCCAGGCGGCCGAGAAGCAGAATGTGCGAAGTTAACCACTGCGCCACCGGGCTGGCCCCTCCATTTAATATTTTTGAACTGCAGTTGGACTGCAGGTAACTGAACCGTGAAAAGTGAAACCTTGGATGAAGACAAACTATTGTAATTTAATGGGACAAAAAATACCATCTTTGCTTACTGAATATAAGAGAATTTAGTGTGTGTAAACATTCGTCTGATTTACAAACAAAGATACAAATTGTCATTTAAAATTTTAAGCCTTAGGGTTTTATCACAGAGAAATTGGTTAAAATTTTCTACCAGAATCCATTTGTTTTACCAAATATTCCTCATTTGAATAAGTTTGACTGAATAACATATTAGGCCAAAGCAATTACTATTAACTTTCTTTTTTTGGTGAGGAAGATTGGCCCTGAGCTAACATCTGTGCCAATATTCCTCCATTTTGTATGTTGGATGCTGCCACAGCATGGCTTGATGAGTGGTAGATAGGTCTGTGCCCGGGATCTGAACCCACAAATCCCAGGCTGCTGAAGCAGAGTGCCAAAACTTAACCCTTATGCCACCAGGCTGGCCCCACTATTATTAACATTTTTTAGGGCAAGAATTTATATTCATTCAACATGCCTTACTCTGAATTCGGAGTTCTTTTGAAAATAGTTTTTATGAGAAATCTTTTGGAAGCATAAAAATATTATTTCAGATAATATTCATTAAACTTGAAGTAACGTATCTATTATTTTGTTATAGCTTTAATCCTGAAGGGATAAAATTAGAAAGCGCTTACCTCACCAAGATAGCATATCTGTTTATGTGCAACTTCAACAAAAACTTCTATTATGAGATTGACAGTCTCTGGAGTATTTTTATAAACTTCCATCAATCCAATGCAATTGGTGAGGAAGTCCATTAGAAAATTAAACAGGATTGCTACGTTGTCGATCTGGGTAGCCTCAGCAATGCCACAGAGGGCCTCCAGTGTGGCAGTGATCTCCTGCTTGACCTCCTCTTGCTGGCACATCTGCTGAAAATTTTCTTGATTTATCACTCTTAAGAACCGCTGCTGAAGTGGCTGAAGAACCTATAAAAGGAAAGCATGAATTTTCTAAAAGTTTTTCTAAAAGTTTGATTCACATGCTTTATTTATTTCTTCAACTTTATTTCCTCAACTTGGATAAATATTCACTTTCCAAAACATTTCTACTTGTTGGAGAAAGCACAGAAAAAGAATATCTGAACTATGCATTACATCCTGCATTTTGAAGGTCATCCTAACTTCTGGCATACATAAAGAAAGAACACAAACATGAAAAGGTGCTCAACATCACTAGTCAGGAGGGAAATGCAAATTAAAAACAGAATGAAATACTATTTCACACCTGTTAGAATGGCAACCATCAAAAAAGACAAGAGATAACATAAGTGCTGGCGAGGATGTGGAGAAAAGGGAACTTCTGTGCACTGTTGATGGGATTGCAAACTGGTGCAGCCTCTATGGAAAGCAGTTCGGAGGATCCTCAAAAAATTAAAAGTAGAACTGCCATATGATCCAGCAATTCCACTTCTGGGAATAGATCCAAAGGAGACAAAAACACTAACTTGAAAAGATATCTGCACCCCATGTTCATGGCAGTATTATTATGTTAAAAAACAGACAACATACACAGAAATCGAGATATAATGACGTACACCTGAAATTTATATAATGTTATAAACCAGTGTTACCTCAATCAAATAAACGAATGAATAAATAAAAAAGGAGACAACAGGGCCAAAATGGAGTCACTTATGCTAAGCTCCACCAAAACTTAACACCTAACCTAACTGCAGTTTCCACCCTCCCAGCAACCTGGAACTTCCTGGTCAGCACCTGGGGAGAATCCACCCACAGACCCCTAACACAATGCACTCTGCACGAACAACTTCCTTTTTTCCCCTCCCTCTCTGCTTTGACAAACCTTTGCTCTTCTGCAGCTCGACAGAGTTCTCTACTTCCTAAAGGGAGTGCTGCCCAATTCATGAATCATTTAATAAAGCCAATTTGACCTTTAAATTTACTCAGTTGAATTTTTGTTATTTATCATTTACGACAGCCATGACATGGAAACAACCTAAGTTCCATCAACAGATGAATGGATAAAGAAGTTGTGGTGTATATATACACACAATGGAATATTATTCAGCCATTAAAAAATGAGGAAATCCTGCCATTTGCGACAACATAGATGAATTGAGGGCATTATGCTAAATGAAATAAGTCAGACAGAGAAAGACAAATACTGTATGATCTTACTTATATGTGGAATCTAAAAAAAACCCTGAAAATCAAAAAACAAAACCAAACTCATAGAAAAAGATTTGTGGTTACCAGAAGAAGGAGGTGGAGGGAGAGGGAATTGGAGGCACAGGGTCAAAAGGTACAAACTTCCAGTTATAAGATAAATAAGTGCTAGGGATGTAATAATGTACAACATGATGACTATAGTTAACACTGCTGTATGATCATATGAAAGCTGTTATTAACACAAGGAAAGAGAATTTTTTTTTTTTTTTTTGCTTTTTCTTTTTAATACATCTGTATGAGATGATGGATGCTAACTAACTTACTGTGGTAATCATTTCACGACATATGTAAGTCACGCCGTCATACTATGGACCTTACACTTATACAGTGATGTATGTCAATTACATCTCAATAAAACTAGGGGGAAAAAAGAAAATCATATTTATGGAAAAGCATATAAGTACACGCCATCATCTCACTTCCGAGTAATTTAGGTTCCAAAAAGAAAAAAAAAATAACACACAAATCACACAATACGACCTCCTGAATGTCAGTAGCAGAATTCTGCTACTATCCTCATCTCTTTCCAATTGATTACCTTTAAAAAAGGGTAAAAAATTAAGCCCCCACAGTAAGGTTAGCAAACTTTTTTCAATAAAGGGCCAGAGGGAAAATATTTTAGACTTTGTAGGACATACCATCTCTGGTCCAACTACTCAATTATGCTTGCACTGTAGTGCAGAAACAAGTCACAGACAAGATGTAAACAATTGAGCAAGACTGTGTTTCAAAAACTTTATTTTACAGAACAGGGAGCAGGCCAGATTTGATCTGTGGGCTGCAGTTGGCCAACCTCTGTTCTGTAAGGTCAAGACCAAACAAAGCTCTCGCCTGTTTCTTTCCTTTCCAATTCCTCTTGGCATAGAACATAACGTCAGATAATCAGTTCTGCCCTGGGTATAAGAGTAAACATCCTTATATATGATGATAATATCTTAATTCTATTTAAAGCTATACATATGATAATACAATTATTTGAACTAGAAATACATGGTCAGCCGGGTTTTCCTTCTGGCTCTAAAGTCACAGACAACTGCTTAATTCTGTTACCATGCCCCTTCTCAGACATCAAGAGTACTCTAGTCACAAAGATTATAGGCTGGCAAACTACATACACTGGTAACTCTTGGTTCTTGATTTAAAGCTTATTAAATAAGGTAAGGTTTCTATGGTGGTTGTTACGGGCTGAATTATATCCCCCCAAAATTGATAGGTTGAAGTCCCAATCACCAGTAACTCAGAACATGGTCTTATTCGGAAATCGGGTTGTTTCAGGTGTAACTAGATAAATTAAGATAAGGTCATTAGGGTGAGTCCCTAATCCAGTATGACTGGCAGGTGTCCTTACAAAAAGGGGAAATTTGGAAACAGACATACTCACGTGGAGAATGTCATGGGAAGATGAAGGCAGAGATCAGAGTGATGCTTCTATAAGCCAAGGAACGCCAAAGATTGCCAGCAAACCAGCAGAAGCTTGGGGAGAGGCCTGGAACAGATCCTCCCTCACAGGCTTAAAAAAGGAGCCAACCCTACCAACACCTTGATCTCAGACTTCTGGCCCACAGAACTGCAACACAATAACTTTCTGCTGGTACAGCAATTAATACAATGGCAAACTAACACAATGGCTAACATGCAACTCCTTGTTCAAGATAAGGGAACATCTCACTGATTCTTAATGGAGAATTAATACACCAGTTCAGGCTCTAATTTGCGTTGTGGAAAAATGCCTAAACGATGGAACACTTGACAACATCAACGTCATCAGAGCAGATATAGATAGATCATAGGATGATAGCTGTAAAATAGCTGTAAAGCTTCAACCTATTCATTAGAGGGAAAGATAACAGAAAAGCTAGGACTGAAAAGTTCACATCTCCACAGACTATTTTATGACAACACACAGATAAAACAACTACAGGGTTACATGAGAGGATGCAATCAAAATAAGGGGAACTGTTACCTCTGTCCAATACTGTTGTTTGGTTTCTGTGTCCATATGTGCAAAACCTCCCAAGACAAGAGCCTTCATGAGTGTCCTCTGCACAGGACTGGACAAGAAATTCAGGGGTGGGCTTCGACTTGCAAACTGCTTGGCTAAGTTCCACCAATTTTCACACTGAATTACTAAGTTAGCCCTATGGGTAGAGATAACAAAATGTAAGATGTATTACTTACATTGGATGCATACTAAGTAAACAAAAATGGAAGGTAACTGGGTTTAATTTTTAAAGAAATTTGTTTTTGAGTTAATGATAGGTTACAATCTTGCGAAATTTCAGTTGTACATTATTGTTTGTCAGTCGTGTTGTAGTTGCACCCCTTCACCCTTTGTGTCCACCCCACACACCGCACCTTTCCCCTGGTAGCCACTAATCTGTTCTCTTTGTCCACGTGTTTAAATTCCTCATATGAGCGGAGTCATACAGAGATTGTCCTCCTCTATCTGGCTTATTTCACTTAACATAATTCCCTCATGGTCCATCCATGTTGTTGCAAATGGGACGATTTTGTTTTTTTTTATGGCTGAGTAGTATTCCATTGTATATATATATACCACTTCTTTTTTATTCAATCATCTGTTGATGGGCACTTAGGTTGCTTCCACATCTTGGCTATTGTAAATAATGCTACAATGGACATTGGGGTGCATAAGACTTTGGGAATTGCTGACTTCCAGCTCTTTGGATAGATACCCAGTAGTGGGATAGCTGGATCATATGGTAGTTCTATTATTAATTTTTTGAGGAATCTCCATACTGTTTTCCATAGTGGCTGCACCAGTGTGCATTCCCACCAACAGTGTATGAGGGTTCCTTTTTTTCCACAACCTGTCCAACATTTGTTACTATTTGTTTTGGTTATTTTTGTCATTCTAATGGGTGTAAGGTGATATCTTAGTGTAGTTTTGATTTGCATTTCCCTGATGATCAGTGATGATGAACACCTTTTCATGTGCCTATTGGCCAATCATATATCTTCTTTGGAGAAATGTCTGTTCATGTCTCCTGCCCAGTTTTTGATTGGGTTGTTTAATTTTTTGTTGTTGAGTTGTGTGAGTTCTTCATATGTTATGGATATTAAGCCTTTGTCAGATATATGACTTGCAAATATTTTTTCCCAGTTAGTGGGTTGTTTTTTTGTTTAAATTCTGTTTTCCCTTGCCTTGAAGAAGCTCTTTAGTCTGATGAAGTCCCATTTGTTTATTCTTTCTATTGTTTCCCTTGTCTGAGAAGACATGGTGTCCAAAAAGATCCTTTTGATAGTGATGACAAAGAGTGTACTGCCTACATTTTCTTCTAGAAGCCTTACGGTTTCAGGTCTCACCTTTAGGTCTTTGATCAATTTTGAATTTATTTTGGTGAATGGTGAAAAAGAATGGTCAATTTTCACTCTTTTACATCTGGCTTTCCAGTTTTCCCATCACCATTTGTTGAAAAGACTTTCTTTTCTCCAGTGTAGGCCCTGAGCTCCTTTGTTGAAGATTAGCTGTCCATAGATGGGTGGTTTTATTTCTGGGCTTTCAATTCTGTTCCATTGATCTGTGCACCTGTTTTTGTACCAGTACCATGCTGTTTTGATTACTGTAACTTTGCAGTATGCTTTGAAGTCAGGGACTGAGATGCCTCCAGCTTTGTTCTTCTTTCTCAGGATTGCTTTAGCAATTCGGGGTCTTTTGTTGCCCCATATGAATTTTAGGATTCTTTGTTCTATTTCTGTAAAGAATGTCATTGGGATTCTGACTGGGATGGCATTGAATCTGTAGATTGCTTTAGGTAGAATGGACATTTTACCTATGTTTATTCTTCTGATCCATGTACATGAAATGTCTTTCCCCCTCTTTATGTCGTCATCCATTTCTGTCAGAAAATCCTTGTAATTTTCATTGTATAAGTCTTTCACTTCCTTAGTTAAATTCACCCCGAGGTATTTTATTCTTTTTGTTGCGATTGTGAAGGGTATTGTGTTCCAGTTCTTTTTCTGTTAGTTCCTTATTAGAGTATAGAAATGCTGATTTATGTAAATTGATTTTATACCCTGCAACTTTGCTGTAGTTGTTGATTACTTCTAAAAGTTTTCCAACGGATTCTGTGGGGTTTTCTAGATATAAGATCATGTTGTCTGCAAACAGCGAGGGTTTCACTTCTTCCCTCCCTATTTGGATTCCTTTCATTCCTTTTTCTTGCCTGATTGCTCTGGTCAAAACCTCCAGTACTATGTTAAATAAGAGTGGTGATACAGGGCATCCTTGTCTCGTTCCTGTTTTCAGGGGGATGGTGCTCAGTTTTTGCCCATTGAGCATGATGTTGGCTGTGGGTTTGTCATTTATGGCCTTTATTATGTTGAGGTAGTTCCCTTCTATGCCCATTTTGTTCAGAGTTTTTATCATAAATGGCTGTTGGATCTTGTCAAATGCTTTCTCTGCATCTATTGAGATGATCATGTGGTTTTTATTCCTCAACTTGTTGATGTGGTGTATCACGTTGATTGATTTGCGGATGTGGAACCATCCCTGTGTCCCTGGTATGAATCCCACCTGATCATGATGTATGATCCTTTTGATGAATTGCTGTATTCGGGTTGCCAAAATTTTGTTGAGAATTTTTGCATCTATGTTCATCAGCGATATTGACCAGTAGTTCTCATTTTTCGTGCTGTCCTTGTCAGGCTTTGGTATCAGCATGATCTTAGCCTCGTAGAATGTGTTAGGAAGTGTTCCATCCTCCCTAATTTTTTGGAATAGCTTGAAAAGGATAGGTATTGAATCCTCTCTGAAAGTTTGGTAGAATTCCCCAGGAAAGCCATCTGGTCCTGGGGTTTTATTCTTTGGGATGCTTTTATGGCTGTTTCAATCTCTTTCCTTGTAATTGGTCTGTTCAAATTGTCTGCTTCTTCTTGAGTGAGCTTTGGGAGACTGTAGGAGTCCAAGAATTTATCCATTTCCTCTAGGTTATCCATTTTGGTGGCATATAGTTTTTCATAGTATTCTTTTATAATCTGTTGTATTTCTGCGGAGTCTGTTGTTATGTCTCCTCTTTCATTTCTGATTTTGTTTATTTGAGCTTTCCCTCTTTTTTTCTTTTAAGTCTGGCTTGGGGCTTGTCAATTTTACTTATCTTCTCAAAGAACCAGCTCTTTGTTTCATTGATCCTTTCTACTGACTTTTTTGTTTCAATAGCATTTATTTCTGCTCTGATTTTTATTATTTCTCTCCTTCTGCTGACTATGGGCTTTGTTCTTCTTTCTCTAATTCAGTTAGGTGTAGTTTAAGATTGCTGATTTGGGATTTTTCTTGTTTGTTAAGATGTGCGTATATTGCAATGAATTTTCCTCTTAATACAGCTTTTGCTGCATCCCATATGAGTTGGTATGGCATGTTATCATTTTCATTTGCCTCTAGGTATTTTTTTATTTCTTCTTTAATTTCTTCAATGATCCATTGTTTGTTCAATAGCATATTGTTCAGTCTCCACATCCTTGTGCCTTTCTCAGCTTTTTTCTTGTAATTAATTTCTAGCTTTATAGCATTATGATCGGAGGAGATGCTTGTTATTATTTCAATTTTTTTTAATTTGTAGAGGCTTGCCTTGTTTCCCAACACATGGTCTATCCTTGAGAATGTTCCATGTGCGCTTGAGAAGAATGTGTATTCTGCTGTTTTTGGATGAACTGTTCTATATATGTCTATTAAGTCCAACTGTTTTAGTTCTTCATTTAGCTCCACTGTTTCTTTGCTGACTTTCTGTCTGGATGATCTGTCCATTGATGTGACTGGTGTGTTGAGGTCCCCTACTATTATCATGTTATTTTTGATATCTTCTTCTAGGTTTGTTAATAGTTGCTTTACGAACTTGGGTGCATAGATATTTATAAGCGCTATTTCTTCTTGATGAAGCGTCCCTTTAGTCATTATATATTGGCCCTCTATGTCTCTCTTTACCTGCCTTATCTTGAAGTCTGTTTTGTCTGATATAAGTATTGCGACACCTGCTTTCTTTTGTTTGCTATTAGCTTGGAGTATCATCTTCCACCCCTTCACTCTGAGCCTGTGTTTGTCCTTGGAGCTGAGGTGTGTTTCCTGGAGGCAACAAATTGTTGGATCTTGTTCTTTAATCCATTTTGCCACTCTGTGTCTTTTTATTGGAGAGTTCAATCCGTTTACATTCAGTGTGAGTATTGATGCATGAGGGTTTAATGCTGTCATTCTGTTGCTCGTTTTCCGGTTTTCCTGTTTTTCCCTTGTTTCTCGTCCTGTGTATTTTAGCCTACCCATTGACTTCTGCAATTTCTTATGCTGGGTTTCTTAGACTTTTCCTTATTTATGTTTTGTGTCTCTGTTCTGTGTTTTAGTTTAGCGGCTACCCTGAAGTTTGTATTCAGAATCTCGTGTATAACATAGTCCATTTTCTGGTGGTCTCTTACTTCCTTAGCCTAGACTGTTTCAGTCCCTTTCCTCCTCCCCTCCTATTTATTTTCATCTCTTATTCCAACTTGCGTTGTGAGTTTGTAGTGATAAGATTGTCTTTGCTTTGGTGATTTACTTCCCTTTATCCTAATGCTATAGTTGAATATTTGCTATCCTATTCTGATTCTATTTGTCTCTCTACTCTGTGTTTTGTAACCCCTTACTCCCTTTTTGTCTTTTTTCAGGTATGAGAGCCTTCTTGAGGATTTCTTGTAGTGGAGGTCTTGTGACTACAAAGTCCCTTAGCTTTTGTTTGTCTGGAAAAGATTTAATTTCTTCCTCATATCTGAAGGATATTTTTGCTGGATAGAGTATTCTTGGCTGAAGATTTTTATCCTTTAAAGTTTTGAATATGTCACTACAATCTCTCCTAGCTTGTAAGGTTTCTGTAGAGAAATCCGCTGAAAGTCTGATAGGGGATCCTTTGTAGGTTATTTTCTTCTGCCTTGCTGCCCTGGGTATTCTTTCTCTGTCATTCATTTTTGCCATTTTTACTATGGGTTTAATTAATTTTTAAAGTATGGTACAGTAAATTTGGTATAGACTTTGGAGGCACACAAGCTTGCATTCAAATCCCCTTAGTCGTTTGACAATGTAAAATTTATTTACTCTCTCTTAATTATCAGTTTCTTGATCTGTAAAATAGGGATAACAACACTAATAACAGCCCTAAATCTCATGGCTGAGACTGATGTGACAATTAAATGAGACACTATATATGAAATGCTTGGAACAGTCCCTAGTAAATTCTAAGAACTCAATAAACAGTAGCCAATGACAATAGTACTAATAACAACAATCATATTTCTATGTGGTAAGACAAATGAAAACATTCCCAGAATTTGTTGTAGAAAGTGTGAAAAATTTTACTTTGCAAAATTAAATATTAATTATTAAAATATCAGTTTTTCTCATCTATAAAATAGGATAATACTAACAGGGTACCTGAAAAATCAAACAAGACTATTCTATACTAAAGTGTTTTTAAAACTATAAATTACTAAATTAAATATATGTTACTCATAAGAATCTCTGATGCCAAATCCTTGAACAATCAATGCAATCCTCAGCCGTAAGATGGGAAAGCCCTATTTGTATTTGTCACAATACGATACTATTTTTTTAAATGTACTGCTCCAAAACTACAGGGTGTATTCTGGAGCTTAGGACCATGTAACTGTTAGCCACTTGAAAAACTAGACTAAAGAGCAAACTGGAGTTACACACACACACACACACACACACACACACACACACAGATTCTGCATCTTATAATCAACTTACCTTTCTCTTCTTTCCACCAAAGTGACAAGGAGTTGTACAGTGTCATTTGCAAGGTCCTGTTCACTACTCCATACTGAGAGGTTACTGATGACTTTCTGTAAGAGGTAGCCAATAATCCACTGAGAACCCTCTGTATCTGCTCCAAATGCTGTACTGAAGGGTAGACTTATCTTAAGAGAGAAAACAAATTTTTTAAAAAGGTGAGAAAGATCAGCTGAAAAAAAATCCATAGAAAAATCAAACTGAAATTAGCATCTAAATCTGAAGTACCGTTTACATCAATTTTACAAATGTATTCATTTCCTAAGTCCAAGAAAGACATCCTCAATCCACTTACGTTTTCCACTGTGATTTTCCTGTTGATTACCCTCATATTATTAACACACTAACATGATATTTACACCAAATACAAAGAATATAAATTAATCCATTCCCAAATAGTAATCTGTAACTTAATATTGGTTAAAATAAGCTGAATCAAATGATGTGCTCTAAGAAAAGTTATTAAAATAGCATGCCATTCATATAGTTCTCTCAATGTGGAAAATGTTCAAGTGTTAGTTACATTTTTTTTTTAAGATTGGCCCTGAGCTAACATCTGTGGTCAATCTTCCTCTTTTTTTTCCCTCCCCAAAGCCCCAATACATAGTTGTATATCCTAGTTGTAAGTCATTCTAGTTCTGCTATGTGGGATGCTACCACAGCATGGCTTGACAAGTGGTGTGCAAGTCTGTGCCCAGGATTCGAACCAGTGAACCCCAGGCCACCAAAGTGGAGCACACAAACTTAACCACTGTGCCACTGGCCAGGCCCCTTACATTTTGATGAGGAAATCATCAAGAAAAATGTTCCCATTTCTCTAATTGCCATCATCATAAGCCCAAATGAAGTTAAACAGTTTCATATTCTGACCTGATCATACAGTTTCTCATTCACCAGGAGATAAGTCTTTGCCCAGCGTTTTAGAAACCAAACAATATCTTTGCCCATTTGAGGGCTTAGTAGATGAGTGAGATCTGCTCTTATTGCTCGAGATTCAACTTCTGAAACTCTTAGAACGGCAGATAACAGCCTGTGGGTACAAAAAAGAAGTCATTTATTCTTTTATCTATTTAATTGGTCATCTAATATAGTTTTTTCTTAAAAGTCCTTTTTTGTTTCTCAACTCTCTGGATTTAGGCCAGGCTATACTTGAAATTTTCACCAATAGGGTTGTTGACAAAAGCCCCATTTTATTACTGACCTTTCAGGAAGTAGGCAACAAGACAAAGAAAGGGAAGGGTCACGGCTAGAGACACCCTGTTGCTGAAGTTGCAATTAACTGCATGTGCAAATCGCAGCTTTACTGTCTAAAAAAATTTTCAAATTCAAAATGGAGAAATACATAAAATTAAAAGTTCAGAGTAAATGCTAAATTCTTCAGCACTCCATCACTTCTTAAAACTTCCATGGTTAGCACTGCTTGTTTTTATACAATGGTCATTTTATGGTGTAGGATCCGGTAACTGACTTATCTAGAATGTTTTGAATATTGAGTCTTGTCTCTAAACCTGATAGTCCTATTTATTTCCTAACAAACTTGATTCTTAATGGCATTTTAAAATAAAAACTTGGCTAGAAAAATAACCTACATGAGTGTGCATACTGTCCTTTTCTGCGCTAGGTAATTCATGACTATGTGGTGTTAATGACATGTATGATATGCAGATAAGTAACAAAGTCTTTGTTCTGGGGCTGGGAGTAGGAGACCACACGCTCAGAAGTAATGTATATTTAACTTGACTTTAGCTAAAAGGCAAAGCAGCAAAGGATTTAATTGAAAGAACTCATGAAAACACCATTTTATGAATATCAGCACCAAGACAGGGATTCTAATCACTTGAAGTCTGGCTTCTGCTACTTTCCTTACTGCTCTCAAGATGACTGAAATTATGTCCTTGTAATGAAATCCTACGGACATGTTTCAGTTCTTTATCTAACTGGATGTCTCAGAAGTACTAGATACTGCTGACCCCTCCACCCTTCTGAAATAATTTCTTCCCTTGCACCACACCTCCCATATTTCCCCTGATCTATTTGCTTACTCTTCCCGGTCTATGACATCCTCCTCTTCCTCTGATCTTCTTTAAATCAGGTGGTTTTTAAGGTTCTACCCCCACAACCTCTTCTTTTCTTGCTATACACATACTTGTACCACCAGTGCTCAAACTTTAAAAAATTATTTAAGGGTGTATATGAGCAAAAATATCCCAATGACCTCACAATACATTTAAGTTGATGTATCACATTTGTCTCATAAGTTAAATAGTTTTAAAGATATAATTTGCAGCCTAACAGAATTTGAATTAAATAGTTACAGTTACCATTCAAATGTTCACACTGGAATTTAATTATCACAGTGTTTTGATACCCACCATGATCCATTTGAAAAGTAAACAAGTTTTTCTTCTACAGTTGGAAACTTTATAATGTTTCTTTTTCTCCTTAAATTTTTCTTTCAATTTCCTCTTAGAATACTACCCTAATAAATTTTTCTACTTATTATACTGATCATACCATTTACTTCTCTCAAATATGTCAAGATATTAAAATATATTTTTTAAAAATTTCCAATGATCAGAAGACTGTGTTTAAAAATGTCTTCTGGATGGAGGTATCATTACAATACTTATTAGTTCACAACTGAACAGAATATAAGTTTAAATAAATTGTTAAACATAAAAATAAAATTTTGTGCATCTTGAATGAGATTAATGTAGTGGAGTTTTATTTTTCTAAATTAGTTCATGTATCTGTGAAAAAATATTACTTACTGTTAGAATGAGACAGAGCTGAGCATAATTTGATTCATGTTTTTCATTTTAATAGACATAAACACTGAGAAAACATTCATATAAATAAACGGAGGGTATTTTTAAAATAGCGAGGTCTCTGAATTATTTGACTTCTTTCAAGTTAGATGCCAAAAGTCATTGAGATCTCCCATCAAAAATTATTTTTAATAATCTGTTAACTGACAACTTGACTAAGCCCTCTTCAGTGCTATTTAATGCAAAGGAATGGAAATCTCCTGCCTTGTAAAATTACTGGTTATCCACTACTCAGTCATTCACTCCCAATACCACACTGTTTGGGACTGTCCCTTCATTTGGCATTCTGCAGGTTTTTACACACATGCCACACACATCCATCACAGTAAGATTCAGAATGAGTGAGAGCTTTTCCATTTTTTTTTATAAAGTGGGAGCAAGGTAGAGAAAAAGTGTACCACACGCAGTTCTCAGGGAGATAAATCTGAGGCTCCCCTGGGAGCCTTTCTTTATTCCTTCCTCCCTCCTCATTGCCATACTCAATCCATCAGCAAAGTCCTGTAGAGTTACCTCTGAAACACTTTTTTAACTGTTGAAATATCCCAATCCTACCTCAATTTCTTAAGCACGCTATCTGAATATATTTTATATTTCAGACAGCACTCACAGTTTCCCATACTTTCCAAGTTAATCTTGGATAACCTCTGCATTTCATAAACCAGAAGTCAGCAGAACGAGTCAAACAGAGTTCTCTTTAACTTCTCACAACCTCTACCATTATTGCTCATCTGGACCACCACCATTTTCCTCTAGGATGACAGCAATTAGCCTCTCAACTGGTCTTACTACTTCAATCTTTGCCACTGACAGTTTACTCTCAATGCAGCAGAGTAACCTTTTTTTTTCTTTTTTTGGTGAGAAAGATTGTCCCCGAGGTAACATGTGTGCCAATCCTCCTCTATTTTGTGCGTGGGACGCTGCCACAGCATGGCTTGACGAGGGATGTGTAGGTCTGCACCCGGGATGTGAACCTGTGAATCCCAGGCTGCTGAAGTGGAGCGCGTGAACTTCACCAAGCCACCACGCTGGCCCACAGAGTAACCTTTTTAACACATAAATTACTCTTCTGTTCAAAACCCTACAATAGCACCTCATTTCACTCAAAGCAAAAGCCAAAGATATTACAAAGACCTAAAGACTAGCTGATTTCCCTCTAACTCCATCTCCTACAAAATTCCACCTCACTGTGCTCAACCCGCAACGGCAGTTCTTGCTGTTCCTTGAACATGCCTGGTGTGCCACAGGGCCTTTGCTTGGAATCCTCTTCCCCTAGGTCTTCGTGGCCTCTCTTACTAACCCAAATAAAGCCTACAGAGATAGGAATATTTAAAATCACAAACAATTCCTGAACTCTGCAACCCTGACCCCCCTCACCCTGCCCAGTTACTTACCCACACACTTATGGTCTTCTAATATATTATTTAATTTACTTATTTATTATCGCTCCCCTTCAAGGAGCTTGAAAAGGGGAGCGATTTTTGTCTGTTTTGTTCACTGAGGTTTCCCAAATGGCCAGAATAGTGCCCAGGACATAGTAGGTACTCAATAATTATTTGTCAAATGATAATTTCTTCAAGAAATGTGAACTACTTTTTGAGATAAACAAGGACTGTTCTCCCATATATGATTCAACTTCACATTAATTCTTCAGACTACTTAGAAAAAAAAAAAAGGTGATTTTTGTTGTTGTTGTTCCCACCCTTGCCTCAACCCTCCATAGTCTGTGCTCTCAGTTACCAAAATGTTTTTGCTCCCACACTGATATCTGGGACTGGCAAAAATTGAAAAAGCACTGAAAATACAAGGAAAGCATTCCTGATGGTACTGCCCAGGCAAGAAATACGACAAAGATTATAATATGACAGCACCCTGAAATGAACTGCCTTTGAAACTAACATTCATCGTGAATCAAACCAAAGCAAAAGCAATGATTTCCACAGACAATTAATCTAATGCCTATAGTAATCCCAAAAGGAAAAGATAAAACTTTTTCAATAGAGCATTGATATTTTATCTCAAACAAGAGAATGCAACAATAAAGGAAATAAATTCCCAAACATTTTCTTGATATTGGCTTAATAGTTCAATAATTTTAAAATCATACTTTCTACTGCACAGGTTTAAATGATATCCATGTCTTTTTGCATTAAAATAAGAAGAATGTGGTGGAGAGCACCCTGTTTGATTACTGATTTTGCAACTGACAAAAACCAATGTTACTTCATTATTGATATCTCTGCCTGCAATCTAAATTTAAAGCTAAAGATACTGAAATTTAAAATGCTATTTTCAAATCCACTTTTAGGAGGAGACTTAGTGCAGATTTATGCCTCCTTAGTTTCACCATAAAGAATTAATGAAAATTTTGCCATTACTATTAGGAAGATCAAAGTGAATTCTCTCATTTGAGGCACACTACTGTCTTTTAACTTTACCTGACAGGGTTCTCAGGTTCCACATATTCAGGATAAATATTTCTATTTTCTAACATAAGAATCATAATTTTTCTTAAGAAAGCCATTGAAATGTAGTTTTAGCTTTATGAACAATAAATACTAGTTAACGTTCATTTGTTTTCTAAGAATCTCATATTCTTTGTTTCTCTGATTTAGGGTGCCTGTACCTGCATTAGTATTGCTTTCTGATGGACAAGGGATATGTTCATAGTACATTAGATTGAATGTCCCATCAAAGTCTCATTGTATTTAGAGTAATTTTACATTTGTTTTCCTCAGTACTGGATATAGCTGTCAATTCTCACCAGAGTGGCACTGCTTAAATATATCGAGTACTTGCCATCCTTGTTTATTTCAAGGCTTCTCCAAGTTTTATTTTCTTTCATGTATCAGATTTACAACATGCCTATCACTCCAGTCATCTACCCATCAACTCAGAATTTATAAAACAGTATAAATTAAAGAGCACAGCTATAGAGTTCATATTACCTAATCACAGAATCTGTTCTGTTGTACCCTGGGATGGAAGAAGCCTTTTCTCCTGGAGATCCCAAAATTTGAAGTGTTGTATTAATGTCAACTTCAGATGAATGCTTAATGGAATATTCCATTATTCCTGGAGGTATTAGCGGAGTCTCTCCCTGAGTATCATCAGCTAAGAGGTAGCCTTCAGTTTAAAAAAAATTAAAAATGAACACTTAACAAATCTACATTTATCAAATTGTACTATAAATGTTTCAGTTTTATTTGATTTATATACATCATATAAACTGATGTAGAAGTAAATTATAAATGTCAATATGTTAATTTCAAGTTTGATGAGAAGAAACTTTCTATTACTCAAATAATTAACTCTCAAAAATATAGGAAAGGACAAATGTTTTATTCACCAATTTTATAATTCATACTGACAGGTAGGCTTTTTGATCTACTACCTTTTAATAATTTTCAGTAATATATTCTGTAAAGTTAATAGGAATTCTACTTTTGTCTATATCAAAAGCCAATATTTGGGAATGCCTTCTCAAAAATTAAGATTTTTTTCCTGATTATTTAAAATACAGAAACACTGACAGTATGGTTATGGAAGAAGACCCTAAAAGTCAGACTGCCTAGATTTGCATTCTGGCTCCAAAAATTAATAGCAGTGTGACCACGTACTAGTTTCTTATAACTAAGTCTAGCTTCTTCATTTATAAGATAGGGATAATAATGACGACAATAATAACACCTAAGTTCTGTGACATACAGTTAGCTGTATCCAAATTTCACCCAGTACGATGTACGGACTATTGTTTTAATATATGAAGCCTCTTCTAAGGCTTAAACTGCTCAGTTGGCAATTACATTTTAAAAAGAAACAGCCAACAAACCTGTAACTAAAATAAGCCAGTGAATATCTTCATAGAGATCATCAAGCATTTTGTTGTCAATAGTGCTTGAACCAGGTGAAGCAAGTAATTGCTGCTGATGTCGCTGTAACTGACCATGGAGTCTTGTTACTCTTTCTTCTAATAGACTAAAAGAGGAAAAAAACAATAGCTTCGTAAAGTTCAACAAGCAAAGACCTGGAACATCTTACAATTTCCATCTATTAGAGAACATAAATGAAGATGTTAGCGCAAAAACACATATACAAAAATATCTATTTTATACACAGCCGTTCTCATAGCACTATAGGAATTGCGATTTATTGTTTATGACATAGAATTAAACACTGCTTTACAAACAATCAAGGTTTACAACAGGCATTTGAAAACTGGTTATTCCAAGTTTTTATTGATACGGGTCAAATCATTTCTCATACCATGTTTTCCATAATCTCTCTGCCATCTATGCTGTAGTGCCTGGGCTCCCAATGTACAAGCCAAGGAACGCAATCATGAGTATGTTTCTGTCCATTTGTTCCAGTGTGCTGGGATACGGGGTGGGGGTGTTTAAAGTCTTTAAACACTTTAAGTGCTCTCCAGGGAATTTTGAATAGAGAACATTTGCTCCACGGGGTTTCTCTGGACTGTGTGTACCTTGTCAGAAGAGGTATACAGTGTTCTGCGGCAATTCTTCCTAGCATTCCTACACTGGCTAGTTGATCTGAAAACTGGTCTCGATCATCTTCTTGCAGTTCACTTATTTCTTCTTCCTCACGAGAGGCCACACCATTTGCAGTCTATTATTGACGAAAGAAATAAAAATGAGGAACTGCACTCCTCTGTTCAAAAAATCATGCATTTCTGTTGCACTGTAAAATAACTTTAGCACTAGACATGAAAAGGAGCTGGACAGAGACAACATCTGAGTGCAGCTGTCTAGGGACTTCTATCTAACCATGCTGACTGCCCTAGCAGTTACCAAAAAGGGGGAGAAACACAGAAGAGAAAGAAGTAGAGGGCATTACCCCGTGGCACACATACGTAAACACAGCTAAACGCATACCCACAACCCACCTCCCACACAGAGAATTTAACTTCTGTCCCTAAAAAGATCTGACGTCTTCAAGATCCATGGGTCCCTTGGATCCAAGAAGTCATTCATATCACTTAACAACTAGGAAGACACAGCTGGGTAACTGAAAACTGAAGAGAAAGGGGGTAACTATAAGCAACATCCTGTAAAACATGTACTCATTTAGACAAGAGGGACCACTTTTGCTCTCCATCTAAGGCTCTCAGCAAATCTTCTGAAGGAGCTCATCCTAAATTTCTAGTACTATACAATGATGAAGTGGATTTTTAATGACAACCTGGCTTAAAACTTACCAAATTCCTTGTGCCATCTGGAGCAGCTAGGTGGCACTGAATATAGGAATTGAAAACTTGAACCGCATGTTGGGTAAAAAAGCCTTTATGGAAATGTTTGTCATCTTGGACCAAAGTTAGCCAGGACTCCAGCAATTTGTCATATGCTTCCATGTATACCATGTCATCTTTATCAAGCTAAGAGAAAAGGACATTCATAAAACAAATGGCCAGAGAAATAAGATGGGCATTATAACAAAAGTCCTATCGCTATACATATAAATAGTTTTATAAGTTTTTCTTGTAACAAAGATTCTCAATTTAATCTAAATAATTCTTAGGCAAATAGGAATTAATGTTTAATTTTTAGAAGACTAGCTGTTCAGTGCTTTGTGGAACATGTCTTTTTCAAATAAAAATAATATTAACATTTTTCTGTAGTCAAGAAGAGAACTGTTAGAACAAAAAGATAAAATTGTACTTATTACACACTTTTAAATGATTTTAGAAAAATTGAAGAATGAGGAAAATAGACTGTCTGAACCAGCATATTTAAGAATACATGGGAAGAACTCCATAGATGCTCCTTAACATTTTATAATAAAAAGGAAAAGCAAGGATAGGGCTTGCACAGGAGCCTGAGAGGGTGCTGAGGCAGCAGGAACACCAGGAGCACAGGGACTCATGGACACCAGTGTGTGAGGATGAGGTAGGAAAGCCAAGCAGACAGCAAGCAATACAGACTAAAAGGAAACTAACAATCACACAGGCGCTGGATATTAAGTTTTTCACTATGTACAGGTTGTGTCCTAAAATAACCTCAAAGTAAATTATTCTGCCATATTGAGGAGGAACAGTCTACACCTAGTGATTAAGAATACCTCTATGGACCTCAAAGTGTTAAGATACCACTTAATTTTCACGCAGTCTAATAAGACTCCATATGCTAATTTTTACATAAATTAGTAATCTGGATACATAATTTAATCTATGCATCCGTTTCTTCATCCACAAATTCACTAGATCACTGTTGAATGAAACTGGGAATACTTAGTGTTAAGCACGATGCTTAGTGCAAAAACCTACATAACGTATCATCCAAGCTTTTGGGCCTCAGTCCAATGGGGAAGGGTGAGAAACAAAAAATTTCAGAAAACACACTAAGGTGATAAAATATAAACATACATTTCAGGGTCAGTTTTTAACAATGGCATCTCTCATAAGTAATTTGTTAGAAATAAAGTAGTAGCGTCTTTGAACTACGTATTCACTCTTAAAAAGGCTTTAGCATGATCCACAACTTCTGACATTCTGTTAATAGGTGGTGAACACAGGAATACTAAAGGTTTATAGTCTAATCTATAACTCACTTTTGTAGTTTCTAAAGCAAGCAAACAGGTCTCATCTTACAAATACAGAATTCTGGAACCTTAATCAGAAAGCACCATCCAAACTGTTATTCTAGCAATTTGTGAATGACTCAAAAAACAAAAGTAATGGAAGATCTATTTCAAGTATTCCAGATTAAGCTGGACCACCAGAATACCACCACCAGATCATAACAGCTAAGCACCTAAGTGAACTACTTCCAATGGATTGTATTTTATGCCTTCAGCTTTTATTAACCCACAGTATACAAAAAAAAAAAACCAGTGATTTTCTGAATCAACTGGTTCTTTAAAAAACTTCTTATATTTTTAAGTCATTTTATGAAAAATTTACTTAAGAATGGAGGGAAAGTGAAAAGAACTTCATCAGATAATTTTAACAAGAATTTAAGGGGCCAACCCCATGGCTGAGTGGTTAAGTTCGTGTGCTCTGCTTCAGTGGCCCAGGGTTTCGCTGGCTCGAATCCTGGGCGTGGACATGGCACCACTCATCAGGCCACGTTAAGGAGGCGTCCCAAATGCCACAACTAGAAGGACCCACTGAAAATAGACAACTATGTACTGGGGGGTTTTGGGACAAAAAGGAAAAATAAAATCTTAAAAAAAGAAAAAAAAAAGAATTTAAACACAGCAAGCCCAAATTTTTTTTTTTTTTTAGATTTTATTTTTTCCTTTTTCTCCCCAAAGCCCCCCAGTACATAGTTGTATATTCTTTGTTGTGTGTCCTTCTAGTTGTGGCATGTGGGACGCTGCCTCAGCATGGCTTAATGAGCAGTGCCATGTCCGCGCCCAGGATTCGAACCAACGAAACACTGGGCCGCCTGCAGCGGAGCGCGCGAACTTAACCACTCGGCCACGGGGCCAGCCCCAAGCAAGCCCAAATTTTTATCCCATATTTTCCTGGCCTTGAAAGTATATATACCAAGAATTAGCAACATTCTTTCAAGGCAACTAACTGGAACGTATTCATCTTGTATATAGTCAATTGTCATCATTTCTGGTATTTATATTGTATAAAGTTGCCGTGAACGCTGACTCGGTGGCGTTATGTTCTTTCTCTGGTCACATTTTTCACCATGTACAGGTGAACTGATACATACATAACCTTGGTTTATGTGTATTTCCGTTTATAGACACCTTATTTAATATACACGGTTGATTCATTCACAGCCAACAGCACTACAACTCATGCCTGAACGAAGCTTATCCAACACACATATTTTCTCCATAAGGCACAGCACGGCATTCTTGCACTCAGGAACACCAGAGAGCACTTCAGAACAACACGCGGAGGCCATTTTAAACAGTGAAATCATCCACTCAGTCATTGCATAGGAAGAACTTCACTATTTCGTGACAAAAATTTGGAATACCCCATTTCACACAAAAATTTGAAAAATGTAGCACTGGAGACCATGAAAAGGTCTAATTTGACCTCAGCTGGGAACAAGCATGCCGGGTGATTCATATCTTTCATTACTCTTTGCATGCACATGTCTGGGAATGATCATGAAAGTGCCTTAAGTGCTGATTTTGGGATTACAAAGGGAATTTAGGAAGGAGGCGAATTTGCAAATACGGAATCTATGAATAACGAAGATCCACTGTCCTTAGAAAATCTACTTCTAATAGGTTCCAACTTACTATGAACACTGGTTCTTGCCCATGTATCATCAAAATGCATTATACTTTTGAAAACTTTAATATGAATACAATTTTGTTGAAGGACAGGCATATTCTTGGTTCCATAAATGTGACAATGCATTCATTCAGATTTATAACCAATGAAAACGATCAATTCAATTTCTTTTCATTTCTACATGATTTATTTCCTTTGTATATACTGCTTTCAGCATTAATACTACTAAAACCATTATTAAGTAAATTTTGTTGTATGAACAACAAAAAAGATGAAGGAATATTATCAACATCCTTTAGCAAAATGTGATGATCCAAACTCTTGTCACAAAATATTGGGTGAAGTTCTTCCTGTAGAATGATTAACTGGATGAGAATGCCATATTTTCTTTTTGTCCTTGGAAATACATCATTTACTCATGAATTGTTGAGTTTGAGAAAATTTATCTAGAATATCACCAGCTAAAACTCAGTCCCAGATTTCACTTACACTATTAATTTCACCGTCATTATTAGAGCCTAGAGTGCTGCTGTCTCTTTACATTCATCTTGAGTCATTTTATCACTGTAAAATGTCTTATTCTGGCAATTTCCTTCTCTCTGTTTTACTATGGACAGAAAATTAAAAATTCTGAATACCAATCTGTATCCAATTAAATGTTAAAAAAGAGGACTTAGAAGATGCTATCTCCAGACTTCTTTTATAGTGTCTTGAAAGAACATGCCATACTTTAGGAAATGCAATTATAAAACTGAAAAACAATGAATAGTAGCTATTTATTTCATTTGTAGTGTGGTTCATCTCACTACTATGTCAACCTTGTAGGTGATTCCATCATTCCTCTATTTTCTTATTATTGTAATCTTTTTTTAAATTATAGGTGGGAATTGATGAGTAATGGTGAAATATTTCCTAAGATCATGCAACAGCAAAATGTTTCAAGATATAGGAGAAATCAGATCGGTAAGATATCATAATATCATAATGTACTTTAGACTTTCAGAAGAGTCTAATATATCCAGGAGGTAATTGCAAGATAGTAAATGCTCTTTCTGTTCTAAGGTCTGTAAGAAAAAAATAAAGTCATGAAAAATCAATGTTTAAAATAGCTAGAACTATTCAAAAAAGAAACTCAATAACCAGATCCTGGTGGTATACTGAAAGTTAAAGAATGTTCGAAGAAATAGCCAAATAAAATCTGTTCAAGCATCATTTGTTGTCATGGGATTGAAGATTCCATAGCATTCACCATCTCCTATATAAAACTTGGTAAGAGATTTTTTTCCTATTTTTATTTTTACTTAATATTAGGAAAAACTCCTGAGGGGCAGGTATGCTTTCTCTTTCTGCATGAGACTTTCTTAAGTAACTGCATCTCCCATCCCATTCCATGACCTTCATATTCATATCTAAAAAGTCAAACTTACTATATACAGATAAGCTTACGGTATGTATATCAGGATTGTTCTTTTTCTCTAGTCTTGATTTGCTACTCTTATTTAATTCTGATTGTCTTTTGCAAGTTTTAAAAGATGATTTCATTTTAAATGTTCTTTAAGCTACCAGAAACCTTGTACAAAAGAAAGGGGGTTATAAAAAAATAAAATAATCCCTAGATAATTTCAACTGCTAAGCTTATTACCTTTTTTCTGTCTCTCTCTCTAGGTCATACCCATTCTTCTAAAGCCTCCCTGATTCATCAAAGAGGAGCTGTGAAGAGTGGCCTTATGTAGACAAGACACCATTTGAAGGGTTAACTAAAAATGAAACTGACTTAAGAATGTCCACGTAGCAGGAGAGTCACATGGTGATTTATATAAGAATGTTTGCTGCAGCATTACTGAAAAAAGTGCAAATAAATTTACTGAACCATTCCCCTAATCTTTTACACTAAAATCCATGAATCCTAACATGAATTAATGACATAAGAAAATGCTCATAACAATATAAATAAGAAGTAATGACTTTGTTTTTATTTAAACCTAACCGGTATACCTTAAAATCTGGGGGAAAAAAATACATCTAAACATTAATAGTAACAAGTTTCAGAGGGTGAAATTATAAGTGACTTGGTTTACTTCTAATTTTTTGCTTTTTCAAAAAAAAATTTTAAACTTAAACGTCCATAATTGGGGGGGTGGGGGGCAAGGGTATTACATAGCTCCATATGT